CTGCATCTCAGTAGAGTTCACATGACCTGACGTGATGTTGGAGAGTCCACACAAACGCTGCGCGCCGCAGCCTTTGTGTGCAGTCTGTCAAGGTTTTGCTCTCCTACTTACAGCATTTTCACAAGTTGTAAAGTGTACTTCCACTTGTCATTTTGGAGAAATCTACAACAACATAAATACCAAGTATGAAACATCTCCACTGCTGGCGAGGGTGCACGCGCTCCAGAGCGTGACCACAACTCAGCTTTGGTAACAGTAGCTGAACTCATCACCTGCTGCTCCAGAGCAGAAGATGAGTTCAGCTTAACCTTTTAGTAAGAAGCCATTTTGTTCTCACTGGGTATCTTTTTGTACTTGTGCGTACCATTGAGAATTTCTGTCTTAGTCCAGGATTAGGTTATGTTTGTGGTTTAACTAGGGCCAGAGGCCAGATTAGGAGATAATGCGGTGGACTAAGGACCTGGCAAACATTAACCTACTATAAAATTAAATCATCATCATTGGGGTTGTGACTAATGTCCAAAACAATCATGAAATGACTTGTATGTTCATTTGTACCCAAGGAACTATGGATGTACAGTGAAAAACTTGTAAAACCTCAAAAATAATGACAGTAATGAACCAGGAGCTGCTTTTGTTTTTAATTCAGTGAGAGCTGAATGGAACAAAACCAAACATTTGTTTTATTGTGACATGAACAATTAAAATAATTTTAAATGATTACCCCCACAAATAAATAGGTTGTGCTCTTTCTTGTAGGAAATGTACAATAATTGATTAAATTGAATTAAATTAAATTAAATTGCCTGAATTTCATGTCATACACACTTCTGTATTTGAACACTGCAACTTCCTCCTGACAAAAACAGGCTGCAGAACGAGTTTCACCCATAGAAGTACTGTTTTATTTTATTTTAGTTTTGTTTTTGCCTGTGTGTGTTGACTTGTCACTCTTATCAAAATATCTCAAAACCACTGAGCAACTTTTAATGATATTTTCAATGTCAACTTTATTTATAAAGCGCTTTTCAAAACAGTTAATATCAGCACCAAAGTGCTGTACAGCAATCCACACGAAACCACAATAACTGCTAAAAATACATAACAAATCACAACCAACAATAGTAAGAACAGATAAATTACAATGACAGGTCTTATTTAATTAAATGCTTTTGAATAAAAGTGAGTTTTAAGAAGTAATTTGAACTTTTCCAGGCTATGAGCAGATCTAATATGAAAAGGCAAGTTGTTCCATAGATTGGGAGCAGACACAGCAAAAGCACGATCGCCTCTACTCCTAAATCTGGATCTTGGAACATCTAGAAGCATCTGGTTGTTTGACCTCAGTGTTCTAGATGAAGAATGAACATGTAAAAGATCATGAAGATAGGTTGGAGCAAGGCCATTCAAAATTTTAAAAATCTTAAAATCAATTCTGAGAGCTACAGGTCACCAGTGTAATGAAGCCAACACAATTTTCAGAAAGAAATCCTTGGATAAATATAGACTACTTAATCAAAGAGAAAAAAAATAAGTAGGTCCTTTGGATGGGTTCTTCTTTAGTGAAACATTTCATCTCTCTTCCAGG